TAATTATTTGAAGATTTTTGAAACTGAAATTTTACTCTCAGTAATGTTTCTTTGACCAACTACATATAAAACAGAAAACATTAAAAAAATTCAAGTAACTATCCCTTTTACAAGAAGAAGGACCTAACTGAGATGAGGGCTTCATGTTTTGTTGACACAAATTTTAACATACTGGTAATTAATTTATTGTGAATTTCATGAACCATGTGGAGACCTTGAATTCTACTACACTTTGAAATATTTATTTCAATTGATTTTTATGTGTCTGTACTGAATGTCCAAGGCCTGTTTAACACTGTACAGAGGTATGATTAATATTTTGCTTAAAGGAAAGAAACGGTTTTTTTCTGCATCATTGTAGGTTGACATCAAGCATTGTAAAAGAGACTTATTGACATTCATCTAAGAAGAAAGAAAATTTTTATGAAGCTGTGTTCTTTAAAGAGAGCAAAATTTAATATATTATCCAAGATTATTGGCTTAATTTTAGGGGATTTAATTGATAGTAAAACCTGTTATTTAATAAAATTTATGCATCAAATAACTAAGAGATCTATTATGTAGTAAGTCAATATGTTTAAAAAAAGGGCCATCAAGCTAAAGGAGATACGTTATAAGATTTATTTTAATCCTTTAACTCTCAAGATCTGAAGGTTAATTCTCCCCTCTAGCTGCAACACATTTCCTTGTAATTGGTTTCAAGAATTTGATGTTAGATCAAAAGAACAACTTCTACTTGATTAGTTTGAGTATTCTCATTACCAGTTTGCTGGATAATGTGTGAATACTATAGGGAGAAATTACATGTTAATCACTTCTGGGAGTTGATGGGTTAACACATCATTGTAAACTTCACAGGGATGTTGTTGACTGAATTGATACTAATTTTGTGAGGGTTCTGTCATCAAAATGATCTTTTAGCATTATTTTTAAGGTCATGAGAGAGGTAGAAAACCCATTTGTTTTTATGCAGTAATTTTCTCAAACTGTTAAACATAATATAAAATATGTAATATTAATATATTTTGTCCTAAAATTATTAGCAATTGTATTAATG